ACATTTGGGGTCAATGGTTGAGATTTGGGGTCAATGGTCGAGATTTGGGACAATGAGTCGGGGTTTGGGGCCAAAGGCACCCACAAGTCGTCGGGGTCGAAGGTGCTGGTTTGGCCCCAAATTCTCCAACTTTTTGCCCCAAATCTCAACCACTGACCCCAAATACCAACCATTGACCCCAAGCCCCGACCGTTGACCCCAAATCTCGCCCATAGGCAAGAGTCCAACCGGAATCCCTGTTCTTGCCGCAGAAATAGGTGGCGGAATCCTCGTCCCTGAGGTTGTTCATCTGCAGCGTCACCGAGCTCTGCCCGTTGTCCCTGGCCATGCTGAACCGGCCCTGCACCGACGGCGCGTACTCGGTGTAACCACCATTGCTGTTGATCCCAGCAACAAATTCCAGCCCCTTCCCGGGGCTCTGGCGCACCCAGATCATGGTGTAGCTGCCGAATGTGAAGCCGGAGGGGCAGCAGAGGAGCCACAGGGGCTGAACGGGGCAGAGATTGGGGGTCAATGGTTGAGATTTGGGTCAACAATCATGACACGGGTCAATGGTTGAGATTTGGGGTCAATGGTTGAGATTTGGGGTCAACGGTTGAGATTTGGGGTCAATGGTTGGGATTTGGGGTCAATGGTTGAGATTTGGGGTCAGTGGTTGACATTTGGGGTCAATGGTTGGGATTTGGGGTCAAGGGTTGACATTTGGGGTCAATGGTTGACATTTGGGGTCAATGGTTGACATTTGGGGTCAGTATCTGATCTTTGGGGTCAAGGGCAGAGATTTGAGACAAAGAGTTGGGGTTTGGGGCCAAAGGTGGGGAATTTGGGGCCAAACTAGGCCCAAGGTCGGGACCAACGACCACCTTGGGCAGCCACACCATGGACTGGGTGCGCCAGAGCCCCGGGAAGGGGCTGGAATGGGTCGCTTCGATTAGGAAGGATGGTTCTGGCACCTGGTACGCGCCGTCGGTGAAGGGCCGATTCACCATCGCCAGGGACAACGGGCAGAGCTCGGTGACGCTGCAGATGAACAACCTCAGGGACGAGGATTCCGCCACCTATTTCTGTGCCAAAGAGTCTGTGGTTGGTTATGGTGCTGGTGGAAACAATATCGACCCCCTGTGTGGGGTCCCCAAACCTCCCCAGACCCTCCCACAAAGCTCCGCCCCTTCACACCCAGCTCTCGCTCGTCGCTCCAGACCTTGGGCTGGTTTGGCCCCAAATTCTCCACCTTTGGCCCCCAAACCCCAACTCTTTGTCCCAAATCTCAATCACTGATCCCAAATCTTAACTATTGACCCAAAATTTAAACCCCTGACCCTAAATCACAACCAATGACCCCAAATCTGAACCATTAACCCAAAATCTCAACCCTTGACCCCAAATCTCAACCCTTGACCCAAAACTTGCAAAAGGTGAAGATTGGGGTCAATGGCTGAGATTTTGGGTCAATGGTCGGCATTTGGGACCAACGTTTGACGTTTGTCATCGATGATTGAGATTTGGGTGAGAGGGTTGGTGGTTTGGGGACCCCACAAAGGGGGTCGATACAATCAGCACCAGCAACACCAGCTCCAGCAGCTTTGGCACAGAAATAGGTGGCGGAATCCTCGTCCCTGAGGTTGTTCATCTGCAGCGTCACCGAGCTCTGCCCGTTGTCCCTGGCCATGCTGAACCGGCCCTTCACCGACAGCGCGTAGTAGGTGAAACCACCCTTGTTGGTGATCCCAGCGAGCCATTCCAGCCCCTTCCCGGGGCTCTGGCGCACCCAGTACATGTTGTAGCTGCCGAAGGTGAAGCCGGAGGGGCGGCAGAGGAGCCACAGGGGCTGAACGGGGCAGAGATTGGGGGTCAATGGTTGAGATTTGGGTCAACAATCATGATACAGGTCAGTGGTTGGGATTTGGGGTCAATGGTTGAGATTTGGGTACAATGGTTGAGGTTTGGGGTCAATGGTTGAGATTTGGGGTCAATGGTTGGGATTTGGGTCCTGATTTGATCTGTAGGTTTAATGAGAGGAATGTGGAGTCAAGGGCTGAGATTTGGGGCAAAGAGTCGGGGTTTGGGGCCACCCTTTGGCAACCACGGCATGCAGTGGGTGCGCCAGAGCAACGGGAAGGGGCTGGAATGGCTTGCTAGGATACACATTTGGGGTGGCACCGCCTACGCGCCGTCGGTGAAGGGCCGGTTCAGCATGGCCAGGGACAACGGGCAGAGCTCGGTGACGCTGCAGATGAACAACCTCAGGGACGAGGATTCCGCCACCTATTTCTGTGCCAAAGATTCTGGTGCTCTTGGTTGTTGTGGTGCTGATGATATCAACCCCCTGTGTGGGGTCCCCAAAGTTCCACCCCTCCCACCCAAATCTGAACCGATGATGCCAAACGTCAAACGTTGAACCCAAATCTCGACCATTGACCCAAAATCTCAACTGTTGGTCCCAACCTTTACCCTTTGAGGAGTTTGGGGTCAAGGGTTGTGGTTTGGGGTCAATGGTTGAGATTTGGGTGAATGGTTGAGATTTTGGGTCAAGGGCAGAGATTTGGGACAAAGAGTTGGGGTTTTGGGGCCAAAGGCAGAGAATTTGGGGTCAAACCAGGCCCAAGGTCAGGATCAGAGAGCCAGAGCTGGGTGAGAAGGGGCGGAGCTTTGGGGGGAAGGTTTAGGGTGGTTTGGGGACCCCAAAAAGGGGGTCAATATCATCAGCAATACCCCAAGTGTTGCCCCCATATTCCCTGGCACAGAAATAGGTGGTGGAATCCTCGTCCCTGAGGTTGTTCATCTGCAGCGTCACCGAGCTCTGCCCGTTGTCCCTGGCGATGGTGAATCGACCCTTCAACGACGGCGCATAGTGGGTGCCACCACTTTTACCAATCCCAGCGAGCCATTCCAGCCCCTTCCCGGGGCTCTGGCGAACCCAGTACATGTCGTGGTTGCCGAATGTAAAGCCGGAGGGGCGGCAGAGGAGCCACAGGGGCTGAACGGGACAGAGATTTGGGGTCAATGGTTGAGATTTGGGTCAACAATCATGATACGGGTCAATGGTTGGGATTTGGGGTCAATGGTTGGGATTTGGGGTCAATGGTTGAGATTTGGGGTCAATGGTTGAGATTTGGGTCAATGGTTGGGATTTGGGGTCAATGGTTGGGATTTGGGGTCAATGGTTG